AAAGATATGAAAGTGAAGAAAATTAAGTAATAATATTTGAAAAGTTAATAATAAATAAATTTAGAATATACGATTAAAGAACCGATAGATGTATATTAAATATCCAATATACATATCTGTCAATAATGTTTTTACGTAATGTGCAATACTAGATATCCATATGAGATTGTATTTCAAAGAAATGAAATTATCGAATGGATAGATCAAGTTGAAAGATTAGGTTCAGCTTACGTGACAAAGTATTACTCAATCTTATTATGGCGATATAATTTTAAAATAAAGATTGTCAAATAACATATACGTTTTGCATGCAATGAGAATTCATTATAAGCAAAAATCTCTTTTTATCATTATAATATGTAAATGTACATATTTATAGAGTAAATTCGAATAAAATCTCGCATTACCACTCATAAAATGCATAAAAAATTACACATTTCGCGGCAATTGAAATAATATTAAACGTCTTAATTTCATGTAACATTGACAAGTATTTGTATCTCATATGATCAAGTGCCATCTTGAAGTTTAAGAAATATAAAAAAGAAAAAAGAAAATATGTATAAAACATGTAAAATTGAAATATTTTTTTTTTACTAAAAAGACATAGTGAACAAAAAATTAATATATAAAATATATTGGTGAATATCTTTGTCTTTATAAGAGTCGAGAGACTACATATTCACGTTTTGTGGACGCGAGATAAATAATGTCACAATTGAAGGTAAGAAATTGCGGGGGAATAAAGAATGTCGAAAGTTTCGCGCATAGCAACGTAGATCAAATACTAACTAAACTAGTTGGTCTTTAGCTCGCAAGAACCAGGAACGCTCGAAGGAGCGTGGAAAGTTGAGCGTCTGTGAGAAATCCCGTATGTTCGAATAGTTACATAAAGCCTTACCGGTCACGCAGCACAGCAGAATGTCGCTAAAGCCCCGGATTACGGAATGGCTAACGAGCAATCCGGTAGTCTGTCAATATAGGAAGAAACGATATAACATCTTGAACCGACACGTTCTCTTAATAAAAACGCATTGTCATTGATTGATTATTTTCACATCATGAATTCGTGATAAATTACGATTATTAAATTATGACAGGAGCATTGTCGTCTGTTATCGAACGTTATTTTCCAAACACGGAGGTGAGCACATAATGTATAATAAAAGCGAAATGAGGATCGTCGTCTCTTTGATGCTCCATTTATACGATGCGAGAATCTCCTTAATAATTCTCTAACGTGTCTGAGAGGAAACCGTACAGCTGTTGCTAAAATAACACCTTACGAAATCTGACGTTGTACGTAAATATATTTTATTATCGGTTTGTGAGCGATGTCCAAGTCCCAGTTTCTTACGATCTCGGTTATCCAATTAGATGCGATTCGCGATGAGAACGTTCATGTGACGCATTGAGAAAATTTGTAGCTGAATTGAACATAAATTATAACACAATGTTGTCACTAATGTTTTCGCGGTTACTTAAAATTTATTTTTAGGCAGCCTCCGTCGTAAACAAGGCATTTGCTTGGTATGTGAGGTGCGTGCACGCCCGTATGTGTGGAAATGATTTATGCATGTGCGAGCGTAAAGTTTGTTCCTCTCTTACCCCAGGGAATGTTCGATTCGCGTATCATTCTCCTGGACGGCCAGCCTTTTGCCGCAAAAGCGTGCGAGATTACTCAAGGAATTGCGCAAATTTATTCCCATTCGTAACACTTGTCGATGCGACAGAAAGTAATAATACTTACATGCGCGAAATAATGATACTTTATAAATCTGCTTGTATTACTTATAAATCGACCGCTATAAATCGGTAAGTACGAAATTTCTACATGAAGTTTCTTTGTTTATCGTTCAATCCATCTTTAATCATTTGAACATTTTAGCACATGTATTGCAATTTTTAAAGATCATATACGACAGATCTCCGATCACATATGATAAATTAAAAAAAAAAAAGATTTAATTAATGATCAGATTTACAACGATATATATTTCGTGTGATCGAGAGATATATAAAAATATCTTTGAAACACTTTTGAAACTTTTTTAAGACTTGCATTTACAAGCTAAGAGTAAAGTATACACATTGCTGTATCCGCGCTAGAAAAATCAGTAGTTTCACTGTACGATACAGAAAAGAAAGAAATCTCATTCCTGAAAGAGATTGCAAATCAGCATAAAAAAAGAAAGTCAATCTTGTCGCTCTGTACGCCATAGACACATAAACACATATATGTATATAGACAACATAAATACAGACTTGTCATAATAAATTGCGCAATTAAATTGCAATTTTAAACATGACAGTCAGTTCGTTAGTTGACGTGTTAATTGTATTATTAAGAGAAACAGAATATTCTATTTCATTAAAAAATATTACATTTTTTCATCATTATTGCTGCTCGAGAAAAATTTACAGAACTTATTAAAAAATTTGTAACATACATTTGTAAATTGTATACAATTGCATTAATTAATAGAAACAATTTGCGAAGGATATAAATTTATAACTATCTTTCATATCGACCGACATTTTATTGTCGGCTGAACCGGTCAACACTTGAGATAATCTCTCTCAAAAAAACGTATCAAATTGAACGAGCGACCAAATTGAACAAGAAATATTTAATGTCATAATCGACAGCGACTAGTTTTAATGTAAAACCAGGCGAACCATTGTCCAAGCGACAGAAAAATTGGGACACGAAGACCTTATGTCTCATTATGACAGTTGTCCTTCGCGAAATGTTCTCTATTTCAGAGTTTCTGGTTTTATGCCGCGCCAAGTTTCCCTCTTCGGACTTTCCTCTTTCGTGACATGTTGTGTATCAAGATCTCAAGTATATAATTGGAATATAAATCATGCGACGAGTTTTCAGATCAACAAGCAAAATGGAAAATAAATATCTTGCGCGATAATTGTAATGAAGACAGCAAAAGAAAGAGAAAGGAGAATAATCATTGAGATATCTGCTAACTAGTTCGTTTTTTCCTTGGACAGATATCCTTGCTTTTTCATTTTGCATAATTTTATTTTTTTTTAAATACATAAATTATATAAAAATATTGTGGACTAAATAATTGTTATTTTTTTTAACAATTAAAATAAAATTCTTTATACGACATCCGACATTGATATTACAAGTAACCGATAGCTTTCTAACACACACAATCCTGACATTTCATATAATTAAACAAATCAATATTCGCAAAGAAAGATTCTTACTTGGTCAAACGATTATTTAAAGATCCAGCTTTTTCCTTAATGAAAATAACATGAAGCAAACACCACAAACTCTGTCGTAAAATTTATCCAAGTGTGTCTCTCCACAACGAGACAGGAATATAGAAATTTAAACCGCAAAGCCATAAGTTTTTCGACTCTCAGCGATAGACCGGCAGATTTTTGATCAAAGCGGATGTTTAAAGCGACACTTCATGTGTCACTCTCTATCATCGTAAAACGCGAATGTCCACGTTGTTTAAATGAAATTGATTTGCGAAATTCATTGCAATATGAATTGCTTAATGGACGGCAATTCAAACAATAAAATATCACATCATTATGCAGCGTATTTGCGATCAACAAGTATAACATATATCGTAATAAAATTATTTACAGCAGGTTCTAAAGTGTGTGTTCTAAAGCGTTTATTTATATCTTTAGATTTCACTTTAATGATAAGTTTTATAGAGGAATAAAATGTTAATGCGATTGTATACATGTATTGAATGGAAAATTTTTTACCAGAATTAAAAGAGAAAATATGCCGGAAGAAAGAGAAAATATCTGCATTTTTCATCATCTTCGATTTTTTTATGTTGCTAGATTTTTATGAATTTTATATATCGTATTAAGTTACCTCATATAAAATAAAGTTAAACAAAAATTATCTAAAACTAAACAACAAATAAATTGCTTGTTCATAATTTATGATTACACAAAAATTATAAATATGTTATTTTTATGAAGCTAATAAAAAACTAATAATATGCTTATTTTAAATATAATGAAAATAAGAATTAATGATTGAGACGTGTCAAGTTGAATTATTATCTGCATATTATTAACGTCTAGCAACATTGAAAAACAATATGATATGATGCGGGAGGGAAAGGATAAAGACAGAAAGAAAGTGAAGGTACAAAAAAAGTCTGTGATCTAAGAGATAGGCAACAACCACGTTACGTTCATTCATCCCCACATTACGCAAGCGTATACTCAGTAATTAATCCATCCGAGTATGCACTTTCCCTATTTTGACACGCTAGCACGGCTTACCATCGTTCTTTCTCCGTCATGATAAACATCCGTAAGATGGTCAATTTGCTTTTTGTAAGCAACAAAAACTCTATACCAGCAGCCACGATATTGGTTCTAAATGCATGCCATATAAGTACTTTGTATCCGAGAAATTATACGTAGTATTATCGTTACATAAAGACGTTCTCGAGCTGCACCAAACATATTGAGAGGAAAAAGAACTATTAACTATTGACTTTCCTTTATTCGAGGAAATAGAATGGAAAATACTTGAACTTGTTGACACTTGTTTCGTTTCAAATGGTAATTAAATTATTATGCAGAGAAATGCAGTACCAAAGAAAAGTTTTCCTGGTTGCGACCGTCATCTTGTATACATTATGTTGCATATCGTCATCATAGGAGCTTCTACTGTCAAATATCTTGAAGAAATAATCGATATTCTTTCCTTGTGAGAAAAGACGGAAAGAAAAGCAAGTCAAGCTGCGACTAGACCGCGCGCAGAAATGCAACATCAGAAAAGCTCTCCTTGAGAACCTCACGGCTTCATGCCGCACCAGGCATCTCGTAATAACCGACCGCGGATGAGGTTCCACGATTTCAACCTCGGTTTTATCCCGTTATGTAAAACGCCCGCATAAGAGGCGTCTCGCATCCGACACGCTCTCCCGCGCATCATATCGAGCGGCTCCATAAATCGGATATCGACGGGTGGATTTTTATTAACTTACCTTGCCGGAAGCGGGCGAGCCCGACGTCGGGCTCAAGCCCTGTTGCAGATGATACATCTGGGGGGTGAGCATAGACGGTGGTGCACCAAGGCTACCCGGGGCGACAGCCACGCTCGTCATGGTCATTTCCCGCGACGGCCGCAGACCTCAGTGTCTTCGTAGCACCAGCAGTCCGCGCCCTTCTGCTCGTCGCGCAATCTCGCATTCTCAGCTTCTAGCGAATCTGTAACCGATAATAGAACGATTGACTTCTTTAGATGCATCTAATGGAAATAATACACACTGTTTTGATAAAAAAAATTTTACTGTGGAAGTGTCGCACGTGTTCGAACAACGATACTCTTCTTACAGATTAATTTGAAACACTCGAACAAAATTTCTTCAATAAGAAATTGTAACTTCAATGTAAGGCAAAATAAATAAAATAAATTTTAAATGTGTATCATGGTCTTATAATATTTTTATATTTTTATAAAAGATCTTTATAAAAACTTTTGATATATAATTAATATCAATTTTTTCCTGATGTTTATTTTAGGAAATATAGTTTTGAGATAAAATAGAAATTGTGCTCTTTATGTAATATTTAATTCGGATTTGTTTCATAAAGAGAAATTAAGCTATTTAGACATGAGAGATGCTGATACTAATGTTTTATCTCTCTAGTGAAATCTATTTCATCAACGGCGAAATGATGAGTATGGGTTCGACAGTAGCAAAACGGCAGCAATTCCTTGCATAATCACCGCGATAAATTATGTAACCTGACAATAGTACGATGCAATTTCACTTCTCTGTTAAGAGATCACGATTATGCAATTTTCGTCGTGCCAGTCGAGATATTTGACCGACGAGATATCTGATCGGCTAGATTTAGAAATCTAGAAAATGTTAAATCAAAGTTATCAAAATCACGAGCGTTGAGTAGCGACAAACATATTTCGCAGATTTTATGCCTATTTAAGCGTCATGTAATATTTTTCAATAATTCATTTATTATTTCGACAGTATAATCAATATGTTTTCATCAAATCAGAGATTCGTGACATAATATTTCGTTCGCGAATTTATATCTTTATTTAATTGATACAATTACCACTTATCTTATATTTTGCTATTGTATATTAATTTTGAACTTCTATTTCTATTATAATTATAATTTTATTTTAATTTTATTTTGTAATATAAACGTTTAAATAATATTTTAATAACATTGAGTGCATCAATCAGAAGGAATCAATACGTAATGACTTTAATGCAAATCACAAAATTTGAAAGCCGGATATAAAATATAAATTCAGTTTCAATTATATAATATAACATCAAATTAAAATTCAGCATTTATATAAAAAAGAATTATTGTGTAAGCGACGTATAATTTTGAATCTCGTTAGCTCCATTATTATTCTATCCGATAACTTTCGTCAATCACCTAAGATCTCTCTCCATTTAAAAACGTAAGAAAACATAGAAAAAAACAAATCTATCAATTAAATAAAGAATTTTATAAATAATGTATTTAACTAATTATATATATTAATTTCACATTCACATATGGAGATTATTTTGTCATGTTGATTTAAAGAGATATTCAATATGCAGATTAAATACATGTTTTAAATATAAGAAGACACGGATCTCACTGAACATACGTGCTTTTGTCATTAGACGAAGTAAAATTAGATAGATGCATCACTATTAGATGCACCGAATATTTCTCAGCTAACGTCTGTGTCTAACAGTCGATGCAAACGAGTCCCACAAATTAATTCCATGATGAGGGAACGCGATGTACGAGTGACTGGGTAGCAGTTAATTAACAGAGCGAGAGACTATCTAATAAATAGAACAGATAACCGTTCGAAAAAAAAAAGAAATGAACACGAGTGCGAACATCTAACGATGAATTGTATTATAATGCACGCTACCGTTTTAGCGGTAAAGTTACATCCTTTCTAGACGACGAAATTATAATCTTTCATTCATTCTTTTACTTATTTAAACAAATAAAAATTCATCAAGATTTATCTCTTCTATTAGAATCACAACATATTAATTGTTTTTGATTAATTACTTCTTTTTTTACTTGTTTTTCATTTATATTAACCTGAATGAAAATTTCAATTTTATATATGGCTTGATTTTTATGGGATTAATTAGAGGAATTCATAAATTATCTCATAAATTAATCTCCTAATAAATATCTCGCTCGAATTACTGTCGTATGCGCGAGGAAAAATAAAAAACGTCAAATAAAGACGTCTACAATGAAGCTATCGATCGAACCGACGCATTACAGTCGTGCAGTGCATTCCTGAGATTCTTCCTCATCGATGTACCATCACCGATCGTTCATAATACATGAGCAAGCACATGCCGGGTAATAACTGAGACAAGAACCGACTAAAACTATTTTTGCACGAGATCACAGAAAGAAACAACTGTTAGTGATCCATTAAGATTATATTAAAAGAAATGCAATGCGAATCACGCCAAACTGCATCGATTTATCACATAATACATTTTATATAACAATTGTAAATCCCTTCTCTTGAATTTTCTATCGTAAACGTCAAACGCGAAATTTAAGACTAATAAATTAGATTAAACTAGACTCATTAATTCCTTATCGATCGTGTAGTAAAATCTGATCATAATTAATAGCATAGTTATACATAATTATACATAGCTTTATACCCGTAATTAAAATTAAATGAAGCAATTTTTCATGAAACTATTTACAAGTTAAAGATTAGCATGAAATTGAAAATACATCGATACATCAAAAAAGTCTATGATGCTATTAAACTGTCTTTTGTTAGTGTATAATAATTAAGTTTTTTTATTTTTCTAATATTCTTTTTGAATTTCAATATAAGGCGTATAATATTTACGTATACGGACACACATTATTTAAGAGGCATGAATGCGAATCGAGTTTCATGAATTGCAAAACTAGGAGCGAACAAAGAGGAGCAGCGTCGACTCCGTAACAGGGAGTGTACGACTCGCCGAAAGACAATGATCAGGCATTCGCTTTCGTAATGATACGGTACGTCTACGATCTAAGCAACGAAAGAAAGAAAGAAAGAGAAAGAAAGAAATAGCCGTAGGGGAAATGAATGTTGCAAAACGAACTAAATAACATCGGCCTATCATCATAACTTTAAAATCGACAACGATATTCTCTGTCTCTCTTTTCTGGTCTTGCTCTTCTTTTTTGTCTACGAAAAACAGTTTGTAGTCTATAATTATGCGTTGCAAAGACAAACTAAAAGAAAATAATGACTCGACAGAGATAGAATGTATGATGACAGAATTCGAATTCAAAGTGTCTTTTTCTTATTCGAAAATTTTTAAATTACTCTGATCACACAAGCTATATAATATTAAAAATTAAAGAAAATGATTAAGATTTAATATTTTACTTAATTACAAGCAGATTCCATTTTAACACAAATGAATCGATATTTAATATTCAAAATATTAAGAAAAATTAGAGAAAATTGCGAAGGAAACGATATAAATGTTATTATGCTCTCGATAAAAACAAACTGACATGACACTCCTTGAAAAATCAACGAGAAAATGAAAGTAATAGCGAAACATCTCCTGCGTGTATATTTGGATGGATAATGACATTGAGAGCATACAAGTAACCAGCGACAGGATGGCGATGGCGATGATGATGATCATGATGATGATGATGTTGATGATGATGATGTAATCCACCATAAAACCGAAAGACCGCGCATTTCCTCGATCGTGTAAGTTACGAGCCAAAGCACATGTATTCGCATCGGCTCGTTATGTGCACAGTTCGTTGTACATCGTCGATAAATCGCCACGGTGAAAAGTAATAGCCGCGGAAATCGCGCATAACGGACAATTATGTCGTTACCATAGTAGTACAGCAATAAGCATCGCGCAGGTTTACCCGAAACTTTGAATAAATCGACGCCATGCGATTTCTTGCGATGCACGCTGCACGAGCTTATGTAATGAAGTCATTTTCAGATTCTTAAGTCGAATTCGTAATCGAATTTTAAATGCATGTTTAACGAATTTCGAGGCAATAAACTGAAGCAGAATAGATAGCTTCTAGAAATTTAGAAAGTGAAAGAGATCGCCCAAGAGAAACATGTAAATTTTAATATTAATTTGAAATTGAATTTTGAACTTAATATATTATTCACCAGTAAAATCTTTATCCTGTTAATAATAATAAGAAATATGCAAAATCAGAGTAGCCTAGAATTATATATATTTTTTTATGCCGTTACGTGTAACACCGTTACATTTACATAATCATAGAGATTTTTGCCGAATATAAAAAATTGTACACGATCGTCGTGTAAACTCTCAGATAATGCTTTATTATATGAGCATCTTCCAACCTTATCATATGTCATTAATTACGTCCTTCAACGAACTAATCGTCGACATAAATTGTATAGTGGGATAAAAATACATCAACCTTTCACCTAATGATATATCAGCTTATATATGTAATTTGCCATGTGTCACACATAATTTAAAATATTGAAAGAAATAATCATTTGTCGTTTATGTTGAAATTATAATAAAAAATCATAATGCATAATTGAGAATTATATAATCGCCAATTATTTACTATGTTCATTAAAATAAAAGAAAGAAATAAGTTATTATGCAAAATGATATCACTTTTATTATTACAGAATATAATAATAATAATATTAATAATAATAATAATAATAATAATAATAATTATTATTATTATTATTATTATATTATTATTATTACTTTTAGAGAAAATTAAAGAAACAATGATATCTCGTCCTTCGCTACTTTCCACGAGAAAAACCTGCAAGTTACGAAAGTCTAATCAAAATCTCTATACGACTCATCTTCCGGAAGATACGCGTGAGACGCGGCATACCGTTAATGTAGGTTAACACACCTCTCGAAGGACGTGAGTGCATACTCCGAGTACTGTTAATCCGCGCCGACTGGGTCTCATCATCATGCAGCGTTGTGGCGTTCAATGATTTTTGCTTAAGCAATGTCGCGTCGTGCATTTTAAGACGCAACCAGTATTCAAGATGCGAATATTTATATGTGCGTGTAGTAACATATAACTAAAGAACTATAAACCTATATTGAAAGCGGATCAATCTCTACCATATTGAATGTATTATTGATTAAACAACAGTACGATATTTAAATTTAATGTTGTCTAAA